CTGAATATTCAATTCAATTTATTGACAGCATACAGAATATAAAGTCAGATCCAATGGGTAGTGGCAAAAGTTAGTAATGGTATAAACAACACTGTAATCTCAAATCCCCAGGAAAAAGTAGTAAAGATGAGTCACTTAATGAGGTTTATAATGCAAGCTATCACTTAAGAAGAAACACTAAGAAATAACCACTGTAAAAATACTGACCACTAATTCTTTCCCCAAGAAAACCATTTAAAATAAGCACTTCAGGAGCGCCTGGGTGGCTCATTTGTTAAGCGTCTGCCTTTGGCTCAGGTCACGATCCCAGCATCCTGGGATGGAGCCCCGCATTGGGCTCCCTGCTCTGCGGGAAGCCTGCTTCTCCCTCTCCCACTCCCCCTGCTTGTGTTCCCTCTCTCGCTATGTCTCTCTCTGTCACATAAATAAATAAAATCTTTAAAATAAATAAATAAATAAATAAAATAAGCACTTCATATCGCCAGCAGGGGGAAAAGTTCATTTTATCCACATACATAGTTTCGTCTACAGACTGACTGCATTCCTGGACTGCCGCTTCCACCGCAGACCGTTCGATCATGTTTGATGACACTGAGAAAAGAATTTCAAAGTTCAATCTTAGAAACACGCATAAAAATTACTTATTTCCACAGATAGCTTTTTTCCTAAAAATAATCTGCAAAGACTAACCCTGAGATTCTCATTACATAGTTTTCAGGACAAAAAAAAGGGTTAGGTCAGAACAATAACACAAGTCATATCTCAAAAAAACCTTCATTTTCTACACTCAAATACACTTATAATATCTTAATACATAGCCAAATGACTTACTTTTCTAAATACTGACTAATAATATAAATTCAGTTATACAAACACTTCTGGAAACTCCTAGGTCCAAGAAGGATACATTAGTAGAACTTTCTATCACCAATGCTATGTTTCCATGGGCATGACAGTAGCAGATATAACAGCCACCACTTATTAAGGCCTTACTAAATGTGTGACACTATGCTCAATACTTCACAAGCATTATGCCATTAGATTAGATGTCCTTATAGACAGACTGTTGTTCATATGCTAATATGTAAAAGGGGGAGGAAGTGCAACTTGGAGAGACTAAATAAATTGCCCAAGAACACAGCTAGAAAGTATACATGGCAACACAAACCCAAGCCTGATTCCAGAGTGGGCACCCTTGAACACTTTGTTATGTTCTCAGGCAAAATACTATGCACCATCTTAAAGGAATATATACTACTTTTCCACAATTAATAATTTTCTAAATTTTCAACTATAAAACAGTTTTTAAAAGCAAAGGTATATTTAAAATTCCGCCTTCAGAATTGACAATGAGACATAATGGTAATCTCTCCTGTATCATGGAATGTATGTCTTCCTACATAATTGAAGAAACTAGCATCGATAGGACACCTGAGACCAAGCCATACCTGCTTCTGTCCCTCAGTGCTCTAGAAACACTGGACGTCCGTACCTAGAAGAAAAGCAGTTCTCCTTTGCAGGCCCATGCTTGTGGTAGAAGGTTAAGTACTTAACAGAAAGATCCCTTGAGAAAGGCTGAAGCCAGAAGGAAGAATTAGCCCTGCTCACTTATTCTTTTTTCCCCAAAAAACTTTTAGGAGTACTGAACCTCAGTGAGACAAAGTAGTAGGCATGCAGAGAGACAAGAGTGACTGTAGGGACCAGATCAGAATCAGAAGTCAAGTGCAGGACAGCTAGCAGTGAGAGCTCTGTGAGGGGAAAGATCTGTAAGGGTGTATGGGGAACATCCTGAAGTTGCAACAGAACCAGAGGTTACCCCTTGGGAAGAAGTGCTACCATGGGTATGTCTCATACCACTGGAATATCTTAATATGGAATCCTCAACTTCCACTTAAATCTATAAATCTAATCGAGAATGTAGATCTGTATTAACAATTTAAGAGCTATCAGAAAATATTACTTACACGGTTGCTTTTCAACTGCATCGATGATCTTTTCCAGTGCATCTTCAAGCTCTACTTCACTGATAGATTCAAGAGCTTCTGTGAGGTACTTAATGGCTTCACTGGGATGGAAAGAAAAGATGAGGCTCAAAGTTTTATGCCCACAACTAACAAACACTCATCAACGTGGCATTGAAATTAAAATCTATTCACTCTTCGTTGCAAGCAGTGCTCACCTCTCCTGTCCTTTCTGAACAAATTCTTCCTTCTCTCCCCTGCAACATAACCATTCTTAAAGCCCCAAATCACATCTTTTTTTAGGAAGCCTTCCTAGACCAGCCCTACCTGCTGCAACCTCCCCTCCCTTCTAAATTGTTAAAATTCCTATACACCTCAGATCTGACACATCACAATAGCTTTGTACCAGTTATCACCTTCCATTTAAGGCAGGGTTTCATTTGCTTCAATGTCCTGAACATAACAGACACTTAAGTAAGTATATATTTATTGATTTGCTAACGCATCTGCTTAAATTCATCACTGTTTTCAATTTTAAAATTAGGAAATTAGACTAGAAAAAACTATGACATATGAATATAGTCATAGAAGCAACATTCATTGAAATCACAAGAATCTCCCTGCTCCAAAAGAACTCAATAAGGCTGAACTTTAAAAAAAAAAAAATCCACACAAATCTCTGATTTAAATACCAATAGGTCTCAGAATGAAGACTGTCTAAACAATTAGCTAATTGCATGCCATTCTGTTTGTAGCATACAACTTCACACTTAACGTCAATGTTATTGTTAGAGTCATCATACTAATTGTTCTTAACTTGGGTTGCTCAGTGATTGTTTTATGTGTGGGTATCATGACTCTCCAATTTATCATGATGCTCCTTAAAAACTAGAACCGTGCCATCCTCTGGCAGAGTGCCCAGCATTCTGAACATGGTCCATAGATATTTGATGAGTAAGAAGTCCCTAAAAATCACACACATTTTGGGTGAATGGTGGGACAGTTCTTAGGATACAGGATCTGGCCCCTGCCAAATCTCCTTAGGCTCCTCCAGTGCTCTCCTGCCTCAGGGCTTCTATATGGTCATTTCTCCCCCCTCTTTTCTTCACCTACTCAAGTCCCGTTCATCCTTGAACACAGTTCAAACCACTTCTTTAATGAAGCCCTTCTTTAACTCTAGAGTAGTTACCTTGTTATACATTATCAGAGCACTTCTTTCTTGGGATCCTTTTCACAAGTGAAACTAAGTAACTGTGAACTACTTTAATATCCATGGTAGACAGACTTCTAAAACAACCCCTAATAATCCATGCCTCCTGGTACTAACATCCATGTGCAGCCCTTCGCCTTGAGTATGGGCTGGACCTCGTAATTTGCTTCTAACAATAGACTATAGTAAAATGGAGCATTTTCTTGTATTGTAATTTTAAAAGTAAAATTTTTTAAAACAAGATGTCACTTCCTTGATTAGGTTACAAAAGACTGTGACTTCTGTCTTACTCTTTCTTTTGCTGGCTTTGATGAAGGAAGCTGCCATGTTGGAGAGGACCACATGGCAAGGAACTGAGGGTGGCCTCCAGCCAACAGCCAGCAAGGACTGAGGCCCCAAGTCCAAGAGTCCTGGCAGAACTGAATCCTGCCAACCACTGAATGGGCTTGGAAGCAAATCCTGCCCAACTGACATTTGAGATGACCCTATCTTGACTGCAGCTTTATGAGAGACCCTGAACTAAGAGAACCCAGCTAAGCCTACCTGAATTCCTGGCCCACAGAAAACATGAGATAATAAGTGTGTGTTGTTTTCAACCTCTAAGTTTTGGGGTAATTTGTTACATGGCAATAAGTAACTAATATGCTATCTGTCCCCCAAGCTCCACAGTGTCTTACTCTCTCTTGCACTCCTGGCCCCAGGAGTGATCTTAAGATAGACCAAAGCCTGTAAAAGCTATAATGATCTGGCTCAAATCTGTGTAGACAGGATTTCAGCGAATTTCTGACTAAATTAATTAATGAATGACAGCTGAATATTAGGTCAGATTCTAAGGGAAAAGAAAGAAAAGTTAATTGATCAACTGCTCATGTTTGTAAAATGTCAGGGATCAATCGAACAAAATTCGTTATTTTCTCCCAGAGCATATCCATTCTTGCCCTTGTTCACCACTAAGCCAAAAGCAAAGTTAAAAGGCTCATAAAACTCATTATTTCAAAAACAAAAACTCTTCACACACAGCAAGTGCAATCATAACATGGTACAAAAAAAGTATATTCCATCCAGCAAGTATTTAAATATGTATCAAAAAAAATACTGTATTCTAAAAAACAAAACAGACTTAGTGAGAAAAGTATTAGAAAAGTGCATTCTGTAAGTACAAGAAAACATGATTATGGCCAGGAAACCTATCAGGTAAGTTCTAAAGGGAATGCTTAAGGGAGGAGGAGGGAGATCCAGGATCGTGCTTCAAACTTACCCACTTTTTAACTCTCTAGGAATTCTCACTCAGGAATAATACCTAACCCAAAACTGAGAAAGGGGAGGGTTCACAGTTTTCACAAAATAAGGTGACAACTACTGACTCGTATATGGGCTTTCCCAGGTCGCTCAACTGATGATTCACAAACTACGTGAAGTTGCTCTGTTATTATTCCCATTTTGCTAAGGCACAGACTTGGGGGAGGGGAGCTGAGAAGTGCCCAAGTCACAGTGCCAATAAACGGCTGCTTCTCTGGCTCAATGAAGCACATGCCGAAGGAGAGCCACATCCCACCTGGGAGAAACGTTTCGACTCCGCGCGAACGTCGGGGAAACTTAAGAAGGAATCGCAGCCTTTAGACCCTGCGAGATCAATTTCATTTCTTCAAGTTTTTTAAGGGTCTCTGTGATTTAAGGCCCAGCCGCCTACGGGCGCGCGGCGCACACGGCGCGCACGGCTGCCCGGCGCGGTCGCCTGACCCTGGCTTTCCCGTCCCGTTAACTGCCCCGGGAATACTCACCCCCGGAGTAGCAAGCCGCGCAGCTTGAAGGCAGAGACCGCCCTGCTTCGTAGCCGCTCCGGCGCCATGTTCGCCTTTTGGCGCCACGGCAGCGACTCCGCCCCTTCCCGGGTTTGCCCCGCCCCTCCCCGCCTCCGCCCCGCCCCCCGGGTCCCAGGCCCGGCTCGCCTGGCCCCTAACCCGGCCCGAGCTGGGGACCCTCAAGCTCCGCCTCCATCCCAGCTCCCCAGCCGAGAGCTCGCGGTCCCGGGTGCCTGGCGGGCTATAGCCCGCGATCCTGTAGGCTAAAGGAGGAAACGACACCACTCCTGTTGCCCGGAGACTGAAGGGCTAAAGCCCCCTTTCCTTGTGTCTGGTTGGGAATGTGTTTCCCTATCCCAAGCGCATCGTTGACCTACCGTCACCTCGCTGCCCTCCTTGCTGTCATCTTCCGGGACTCCCGTCCGGCTCATCCTGGACCCGGGGGCCCCTATGTACTCCTGTTCTCTACTTCACACAGGCTCTGGAAATATTGTGTCACTACAGGGTTTTCCCCGACATTCACTCGAAGTTGCTGCAAATCACCACCATTCCCACCCACCCTGATTTGTATTTAAGTTGAGGGCTTCCTTTGTTCCACGTAAAGTCATAAGCGCTTGAAATGTATTAACTGATGTATTGCTCATAAAACTGAAGGGGCTGTGTGCTATTTTTTCAACACCCTCATTTTACAGGTGAGAAAACAACGCAAAGACGGTAGATGCTTCCCTCAAGATGAAACATTCGGTAAGTGATGTGAACTTAGTCTGATTCCAGCACGTGCACTCTTAATCTACCACACTTTAAAAACGCTCCAATGAGTTGAGACGATTTCTAAGTACTGATATACAGTGACTTCCAGCATACATGATTAACTTTTTGAAATGTGGTAAAGGAGAGGAAATAAGAATATAATACATACATGTATATGTATTTACTTGATTTTGTATTTTTAAAAACCTGAATGTTACACTAGACACTGAAAAAATGGCTAACTGTATCTATTTTTTTTTTTTAAGTAAGCTCCATGGCCAGCATGGAGACCAATGCAGGGCTTGAAGTCAGGACCCTGAGATCGAGAGTCAGAGGCTTAACCAACAGAGCCACCCAAGAGCCCCAAAATGTCTAACTGTAAAGGACAGGATGGGATAAGGATGGAAGTGAGACTTTCTTCCCAGTAAGACTTTCAACCATAGACCCATTTATATGTTTTACATATTCAAAAAATAGAAAAGAAAAAAGTAAACTCAAAATTGAAAGCACACCCAAACACCTATCTGTACATTAAATTGGAAATATAACATCATAGAGAAAACGGATTACTGAACACAGTTCTCTGTATACTTTCAGTGAAATATATTCAGAGGACAAAAGCATTGCAAAGAAAATTTGAACGTTTATGTAAGAAAGGTGAAGAAATAAAAATAGAGAAACATACAGTCTGATTCTCATCATTTGAGGTAATGTTCTATAAAGTCACCACCAACACTGCATTAGCAAATATTTAATCATTGCTACTAGAGGAAATAGAGGGCTAGGTTCTTGTGAGTCTCCAGTCACAACATTTTCATCAACTAACCAGTATATAACCTTGTTTGATGGATGTTTCTATTTCAAGCCACCCTCAATATGTAATTGATTCATTAACCTTGAACTCAAGACCAATAGCACTATTATTCATGCCTGAAGGAAGCTTATCTAACACATGTATTTTCTCCCTAAGGCACATCACAGGCTTCGTGTGCCTTGCAACACTAGAAAGCACTTTCACACTATGCTTGGAGGCCATTTTAAACAGCAAAATCACCAACAAAAATCATAAAAATGCAGAAAATGTGGCATAGACACTTGTTTATAGGATGAGAGATGAAGAAAGAAAACAGTGTCACCTTGTTCAATCTCAGCCACGAACATGTGTGAGAGGCAACTAAAATTTTTCACTGCTCTGTGCATGTCTTCAAATGACTGTGAAAGCCCCCAGTATGATTTAGGAGTTACGAATAAATTTTATCAAGTAGATAAATTCACAAATATAGAATGCATAAATAATGATCATTGACTGTATCGGTTTAACCACTAGAAGGATAAACAGAAAACAAATGGTTATCTATGGGCAGGAAAGTGGAGGGAATAGGGATATAAAATGTTGAAAACATCAGATAAGAGTTTTGGAGAACAGATATTTGTGCAGTCCCAAAGTATTATCCTCCAGATTAACAAGCTAATAATACAAAGGAGAGAACTTACTCTTAAAATGAATCATTCAGAGATAACCAAGTATCAAACTTAGCATCACTAAAAGGGGGCTAATTTGAAGTTTTGTTACAGGGTGTAATGCAATATATGACATATACAATGTCACCTATGAAGTATGCTTGCCAAAAATGTTAAGCTCAATTTAATCAAGTGTAGATCTAACTTCTGGCTTAAGAAGACATGGAGGAGAGAGAACTAAGTTAAATTACAACTTGAGGAAACAATCAGACAAATCCAGAATGTGGGACAATCTAAAAGCTAACTGGCCTGTTCTCTTCAAAAAGTGAGTGTCATGGGAGAAAACAGATGGAAGCAACCATCCAGATTGTGTTGCCAGCCTCTAAGATAGCCTCCAATGATTTTTGCTTCCTGGTGTTCATAACTTGTGTATTCCCCTCCCCCACTGAAGAGGACTGACCTGTATAACCAGTAGGATATTGTAGACAGGACAGGTCATAAAAGGCATTGCTATTTCTGTCTTGCTCTCTCTTGGGTCACTAGTTCTTGGGTAAGGCCCCTGCCCTCCAGCAGCTTTATGAAAGGGTCTACGTGTTAAGATGTAAAGGCCTCCTGCCAACAGCCAGCACCAACTTGCCATCCAAATCTCCTTCACCTGGCTAGCTCATAAAGCCCTAATACTTCAGTGAACAACTCTATGCTGATGACTCCAAAATCCGTTATTTCTAGTCCCTATTTCTCTCTGCTTCAAATCCAACTTAGTATGCCCCCAAATGAACTCACCATCATCCCTCCCAAATATGTTCCTCCTCTCATGTTCACTACACTAATTCATTACCTCTTCACCCACTGACCAGGCTAGTAAACTAGGCAGCATCCTCCCTCTCCTTCATCCCCCATAAATCAATCAGCCAAGTCCCTTGGGTTCTATTTTTTGTTTTTTAAAGTAATCTCTACACCCAATGTGGGGCTCAAACTCACAACCCTGAGATCAAGAGTTGCATATTCCACTGACTGAGCCAGCCAGGTGCTCTGGGTTCTAGTTTTTAAGTATTTCTAAACCCTGTCCACTTCTCTCTGTCTCCATGACGAAAGGCCGGAATTCTTGTGACACATATAGATTTATGAAGTTCAAATTTCAGTGTCCATAAATAAAGTTTTATTGGAATATAGCCAAGTTTGTTTATGTATTGTCTGTAGCTATTTTCATGTGGCAAAGGGAGAATTAAATAGTTCTGACAGATACTTTGTGGTCCATAAACCCTAAATTATTTACTAATAACCTTGTCGTTATAGTAAAAACTAGGAAGAACCTAGGTGACCTTTAACAGTACAAAGGATAAATATATTCCAAAATGTTCATACAATAAAACGTGCTAGCAAGGGAAAAACAGATTTACACCCCCACACAAGGGAGTTAACCTCAGGCATATGTTGAGTGAATAAAAGCAAATCTTAGAAGAATATATACAGCATGATTCCATTTATACAAAGTTCAAAAATGATCTGTGTGGTAAAACTATAAAAAGGAGCTAGGGAATAAGTAATGTGAAATTCAGTCTAGTGATTACTGCTGCATGGGGGGCAAGAGTCTGAGAAGAAGGGCTGGCAAAGGGGTTATCCTTTTTTTTTGAAGGAGAGTGGTGAGCACAGAGGCACTCATTTTGGCATTACTCTTTTTTCTTTAAAATATTGTTTGTCCTTCCTCATTATTAAATACAAACCATTAAAAAAATTACAACTGCTCTGAAGGGAACTGGGTCTTGCTCATGCCTTTTTTGTTTTCTACCATTGGTGGGGTTAGACAAGGAAAGATGCTCTTAGACCCGAGTTTGGGAATCTGGGAAGGAGTTTGGTAGCCTGAGTTCTTCTGAATAATAGAGAAGAATTTAATATTCCTTGGGGATAATCCTGGAGGGAAAGAATGTAGAGAGGAGTCAGCAAATGTTCTGAGGCTGGGGACTAAGGAGAGAAGGCCAGTGAAAACGTGACCAAGACTCTCTCCTTGACCAAATTCTAGTCATGCTCACCTGAGCACTATTCTCAGCTAGGCCTCAACCTTGGCCTATAAAAACTGCATAGTCTCAGCACAGATGATTTCATCCCCCGCACCTCCTGCGTACACACACTTAGAGACTTGAACGCTAGCATTGTTTCTAACAGCTCAAGGCCACATCCTCTAGAATGACCCCAGGACCCCCTTAGAGTGCCTTCCTGAAAAAGCTCAAGGCTGCCAGGAGAATTTTGTTTGTTCCAGTCCCAAATCTGGTGGTAGGCAGATAGATCCTGAGCCCACTCTTACAGCAGTTACTTTAGAAAGTTTGCAATTATACTTTCTCCGACTTTCAGGTGTAAATCTACCATCCCAAACCCTTTCTCTGAAGATGGGAGAGCTGTCTTTTTGAAATGCAAACATTCAGGGAGAGAACTGTGGCTCTGAATTCCAGTTCCTGAGTGGGAAGATACAGGCCTAACTTTGGTGGGTGCCTTGTTTAACTTGCACCACCAGCTCTGGTCATAAAGATAGAAGTTCATTTCTTCCCCTGGTTAGGCTCCAATTAGCGAGCCCAGATGGCTTAGTCACATGGATCATCCCCACCCTCAGCACTCCTCAGTGCCTTCCCTTAGCACACCCCGCCTGCCTTTTGAAAGTCTCCAGCCTTCTGTTTCCACAAAGTTGATTTCAGGTAGTACCGGAACCCCTTCCTTATATCAGTAGTTTACTGTTGGGGAAAAAAAAAATCCATCCTCACCTCTTGAACCAGTGTCTGACTTTATCTTTGACAAAGGCCGCAATGATGGGGTGGCTAAAAGGAGTTTGAGGAACAAGGGTATCTAATGTTCTGTTTGCAATTATTTTCTTTCTATGATACAAACCCCTTCTCTATCGTCTTTTTACTTTTATCTTTCATTTCAGTAAAATTTAGTAGCAATACAAATGACTTTTAAGAGTGGGTTTTTAAAGAAAATATGGTATGCTTCTGAGTGTCATGCCTGGAATGATGCATCGGAGAAGAGATATAGCATGCTCCATAGTGAGAAGATCCGTGAGTCTGTGAGTGCGATTATTCCAGTAGCAGTAGGAGTTTAAAGCCAGAAGTGACTATGAGATTATAATCCTGAGAATTTACAGAAATCTTGGACAGGGCTTTGGAATTCCACTGCAGGTGGAAAGGGGGTTCTTGGGACAAAGACCCACCCGTGGGCATATGGGTTACATATATTAATAACTTTATACAACTTGTATGAAAACTCAAGTGTCTCTTTTTGTACACCCCCTTCCTCAATAGATCACATCTTTCCTTCTCATTTTTCTGCTGTATTTTATCCACATTTCAACTATACAACTCCTCATCCCACACCACATGTATTTCTCTATATATCTTTCCCTCTGACTGGACTTTGAAGCCCTTGTGATAGAACTATGTCTTACTCATCTTAAAATTCACTTTGTCTTTTCGCTCATTTAGTCAACAAATATTTATTATGTACTTGGTCCTAGGTTCTGGGGACTCAATAATACTTGAGTCCTTCAGTGTTTCCAGTCTAAAAGAGCCTGAGAACCAAAGATCTACATTAAGCAGATTAAGCAGGTACTTAATATGTACATAATAAATGAATGAATGAACTTGTTCTGAGTCATGGGCAGCCACAATCTCTTCAAAGAATGACTCTGGACAAGCGCACTTACAGACACTGGTGGAATTATCTTCCTTCCTGACCGTAGTTTTACTTCGGTAGCATCATTTAATGACAAGGGTTCGCCAGCTTTGTCTGTAGGAAGGCCAGAGGGTCAATATTTCCAGCAGTGTGGCCTATATGGTCTTTGTTGCAACTGCTAAACTCAGACCACTCAACCCTGTGGTTGCGGGGTTAAAGCAGCCGTAGTCAACACTTAACCGAATTAGGGTGGCTGACTGCCAATAGAACTTCATGGACAGATGATGAAATTTGAATTCTTCTCATTTGCACGAGTCACAAGACATTGTTCTTCTTTAGATTTTTTTTCAACCATTTAAAAATGTAAAACTGTCCTTAGCTTGTGGGCCATACAAAAACTGGCGGCAGACTGACTTTGGCCCCCAGGCCGTAGTTTGTTGGAACACGTTTTAGAAAATCCCTAACGAAAAAAAAAAAATATATATATATATATATATATATATACATTTCTATTAAATACATACAAACACACCCCCCGCATTCTTGTGGATAACCGTCTT